GATGGTTAAGCGTCTGCCTTCGGCTCAGGTCATGATCTCAGGGTCCTGGGATCGAGTCCCGCATCGGGCTCCCTGCTCCTTGGGAGCCTGCTTCTCCCTCTGCCTCTGTCTCTCTCTGTCTCTAATGAATAAATAAATAAAATCTTAAAAAGAAAAAATAAATAAATAAAATAAAATAAAACATGGACCTCACAGAAATAGTATAAAAAGCAGAGATGGGCAAACGAAGGCCCAGTAGCCGAATCCCAACTACCATGTCCTTTGGTACAGCCTGAAAGCAAAGACCAGCTTTTACACTTTTAAGTGGTTGAAAAATACAAACAGAAGCAGCGTACTTCACGACGCAAGAACTATGAAAGTCAAAAATCCATGCCCCTTAATAAAGTTTTATTGGGACACAACCGTGCACATCGGTTCACGTATTGTCTGTGGCAGGCTGGGGGGTTGCCACAGAGACGTCAAGGCCTGCAAAGCCTCGCACCTTTGCCGTCTGGCTCTGTTTGCCCACCTCTCGTACGCCGAACAAATGAGATGCATTTAGGTGTGGAGCAGAGTCGTGGCGCACAGAAGACGACCAAGGAGAGTTAGGTCTGTGAGTTCACCCCAATGGCAACTTTCCGGCCTTCTATCGCCCCCCCTGACTCTGGCTACCAATTAACTGGCATATTAAGTACAGAGTCTCGAGTCCCAGGATCGCTGTCGTTTCTGCCATGGAAAGACCAATCAATAAAAGAGCTGATGAAAACAGGTGTCTGCTCCTGTCTACTCCCCTTAGGCTTTTGCAACCCCGTCCTGAGCAGCCTGCTCTGACATGGGCTCTTCACGGGATGGAAACAATAAGCCGAAGGATGGAAGGCTGGGACACGAGCTGCCTGGACCGACCCAGGCACAAAGGTTCACAACTTAGTGTGCCAATGACTTGGGGGACCCTGGTTTCCCACGTAACATGCACAGGCAGGCACATGGGCAAAGCCGGCTATGACCGCCCATGTTTAGACACGGTGAGACCAACCATGCTTCCTTTTGGTTTGGCAGGTAAGTAAGCAGCCTCCCAAATGAAGCTGGTAAAGGTGATAAGCATAACAGGAGCATCGAACACTAGGCTGACGACACACCCGTGTTCACTGCAGCATTATTCACAACCACTGAGGGCTGTGAATACACAACCTCCAGGTCCACCCACAGATGAATGGACACCCAAAACGTGGCGCCTCCACACAACTGTATCACTGAGCCTTAAAAAGGACGGGTATCCTGTCATATGCTACACTGTGGCCACGTCTTGAGGACATGATACTCAGTGAAATAAGTCACAAAAAAACCAAATGCTGTTTGAGTCCACTTAGAAGTATCTCAAGTAGTCCAATTCCTAGAAACAGAAGTAGAATGGTGGTTGCCTGGGGTTGGGGGGAGAGGAAATGAAGCACTGTAGAAGGGAATGGAATTTTAATTTTTTAAAGATGGAAACAGGGGCGCCTGGGTGGCTCAGTCAGTTAAGTCTGCCTTCGGCTCGGGTCGTGGTCCCCGGGTCCTGGGATAGAGCCCCAGATCGGGCTCCCTGCTCAGTGGGGAGTCTGCTTCTCCCTCTCCCTGCTGTTCCCCTTGCCTGTGCCCTCTGTCAAATGAACAATGTGAATACAGTTAATGCTACTGTCCTGGAACTTAAAGATGGTTAAGATCGTAACTCTTATGACCTCTGTTTTTGACAATTAAAAAAATGATCATGATAAGAGTTTCCATAACGAAACTTTTTAAACACTCGAATAGGTCCCCCACACAGGATTACATGCTGACTGATGTTACCGCATCTGATCCTTTCAAAAACCCCAACGGTTGGGCACTATTGCGCCCATTCCACCCACGAGTAAAGCGAGGCTCAGCTCCTGTCATCCTGCCGCTGAGTCGTCCTGCTGCGCTGACTTCAGGGCTGGGAGTCAGATCGCAAAGCCCCTTTCCTGGGCTGCTACAATATACCACCCCGCTAGAAATCAACAGAACCTGGGGAGGAAACAGAAACCGCTGGACAGAAATCTTCAATTTTCAAGCCTCTTTACTAAGAGCAGAGATGAAAACCCAGCCAGAGTTTACTGTTTTCGCAGGTGAGGGGCTCTTCCTCAGTTCAACAAAATCAAGACTTGTCCTTGCCTCTTCCAAAATAGATGCTGTCAGCCTGCCTCGGGGCACTTTTTGGTCATTATTTCTGCTCCTATGTGCTTTTACTTCATTGAATTTGGGGATACACTTTTTAAAAAAAGATTTTATTTATTTATTTGTCAGAGAGAGAGAAAGCATGCGAGCACAAGCAGGGGGACCGGCAGAGGCAGAGGGAGCAGCAGACTCTCCTGCTTGTGCTCACGCACTCGCTCTCTGACAAATAAAATCCCAAGCAAGGGACCCAAAGCAGGAGTCCATCCCAGGACCCTGGGATCATGACCTGAGCCAAAGGCAGACGCCCAACCGACTGAGCCACCTAGGCGAGCCAGGGAATAAACTTCTATTGATGTTTTATACACACACGGTACACATGGGGTAAGCGTAGAGGTCACTGAATTTGTACATGCTGATTATATGCACAGAACCAGCACCTAGATCAAGAAACAGAACTCGGCCAAGGGCCCCAGAAACTCTCCTTGTACCCCTCCCCCAGGCACCTCTCCCGCCTCATCTAACATCACAGATCAGCTGTGTCGAAACAACTTCTTCTTTTTAACCTTACAAAATTAACTCTCAGGTTGGGATTTTGTAATTGACAGAGAACAGAATACGGAAACGTCCTCAGAATGGAAGGGTGGTGGAGAGCACAAGCTTGTGTTTAGACAGAACTGAACCTGAATCACGGCTATCAAATTTCCTAGCTGTGCTCCTTCGTGAAAACGACTTAACCTCTTTAAGTCTTAGCTTCCTCATCAGAAAAAGGGTGTATGATGGGCTTTTCTGGAATGAATGAAATACTATAGGTAAAACGAACAGGATGCCTTGCACAGTTATCACTCTTCAGAGTAGTGCTGCCAAACTATGGCTTCCTGCATTATAAATAAAGTTTTATTGGAACAAAGCCACATCTACTCATTTACATATTGTCCACACTGTTCCTGCATACAAGGGCAGCCTTGGGTAACTGCAGCAGAGACCCTATGGCTTGCAAAGCCTTCATACAGTATTTATTAACGGGCCCTTTACAAAATGTACTGATCCCTGCTTTTAGAACATGGGCCATGTTAGCTGCTGTGTCCACAGGGACTAGAACAATCTGGCACATGGAAGGCACCCATGTGGTGGCTTTCACTTGTGTTGCATGTGACAAACACCTATTTCTTTGTCATCATTAATGGGTTTTCTGTATTGGGCAGCTGAACACATTCCTAAATGGTATTATAAGAAAGTAGTGAGATGATAAAAATCAAGCCTGATAAAACTTGAAAGAAACCAGCACTGGAGGTACACAGGAAAATCAACAGGTTTGTAAGTTCTAGAAAGGCACTGAACTTGGGGTCAGAAGAACCTGGTTAGAATCCCAACACCACCATGAGCTATTTGGCTGACCCAGGTATGGAACAGTCCTGAGAATCTTAGTACCCTCACCACTACTAATTTATCGTTTAAAAAAGGCAACTCGAGTTGGCTCAGAAGGAGGCAAGAGTGGAGTCGGGGAAGGCAAAGTTGTTAGAAATAGTAAGACAGCATATCTTTCCAGTGTTTTGAGAATCACTATTTTAACATAAAATAATTTTATGAAACAATGTTCCACAGAACTTGCTAAATTGTATTGTAATTATTTGTCTCCCTGTCTCTCTTACCAAGCTATGCACTTTTCTTTTTTTCAAGCTTTTTTTCAAGACTTCTTGCTGTCACTCCTGTCTTCTATGGTATAAAGGATGATGACTGAGACAGTGTAGGCACAAAATAATTGTTGGATAAAGAGAATGTAGAATTAGATTTGGCCCATCTGTGGTCTTCTGCCACATCAGAAAAAGGAATGGGAGTCAGGGAAGCTTAGATTTAATTTAAGCATGAGGAAATGCTGAAGAGTATTTGGAGACAGGAACAAGCTGAGAAAACACTACTATTCACACCCACTTTTAGGTATGTGACAGATTTGCTCATTCACCACCTACCCACTCAACTCCTGTCTACGCCTTCCTTGTAACACTCTCTTCCCTTGCTCTGTATGTGTCCTTCCCTTGGTTTTCCTCCTCCCCATCTGCACCTCCTCTGAGGGCTCCTCCTTCTCTGTCTATCCCTTAAATGCTGGTGCTCCAAGCTAGCCTCCTTTCCACAGTCTACCCTCCCGTCCAGTTTCAGAGCTTCAATTAATATTTAAAATAATCCTGGGGGAGGGGCGGTGCCTGGGTTGGCTCAGTCAGTTTAATGTCCAACCCTTGGTTTCGTCTCAGGTCATGATCTCAGGGTTGTGAGGTCATCCCCCGCATCTGACTCTGGGCTCAGTGCAGAGTCTGCTTGTCCCTCTCTTTACCCCCCGCTTTCTTGCTCTTCCCCCCCCTTCAAATAAATAAATACAAACTTTAAAAAAAGTTTGTTTGTTTTTTTAAAGATTTTATTTATTTATTTGAGAGAGAATGAGATAGAGAGAGAGAGCATGAGAGGGGGGAGGGTCAGAGGGAGAAGCAGATTCCCCGCTGAGCAAGGAGCCCGATGCGGGACTCGATCCTGGGACTCCAGGATCATGACCTGAGCCGAAGGCAGTCGCTTAACCAAC